CATCGGGAAAATTGCATAAAAAATCATGAAGTTGACAAAAGTTTGCACTTTAAACCTTGAGGCTCAACTGCTAACACTTTAAACAATGAAACTTGTAACAATAACATATTAAACATCGAACTAACTTACTTGATGCACACATCAAAATTGTGACCTGTTACTATTCACTAGCAGCTAAAAAGTGGTGACGTGGCGGTTTACCTAAAAAATTTAATAAAAACAAATAAAATTAGATAAAAAATCAATATAAATTCTAAAATTTGACATAAATTCAGGAAAAAATAAAGAGAATAAATAAAATTCAGAAATTTTAAAACAGAAAAATAAATTTATAAAATTTAAAAGTTTATAATAAAAATAAAAATAAATAGTAAAAATAGATTAAAACTAACAAAATAGTAAAAATTAAAAAAAATTAAAAATTCAAATATCAAAATATTAAAATTGAAAATGAAAAGTACTTGACCCAAACCTCTTTTGTGTTTAGGTAGACATATAAGCGTTCAGATGTCCGGGTTCAGACCCTTCAGATCCTAGAGATTTGGCTTCAAAACTTTTTCCAGTTTCATGGGTTTTTGCCAATTTTTTCACTTTCATGGTTTTCTTTTTTTTCCAGATTTTTTTTCTTAACTTTTAATCAATTTGTATAAATTATTTTTGTTATTATTATTATTTTCTTGAATTAACAAATTTATTTTTTCTTGATCTTTATTAGTTTTCAATTTAAGTATTTTAAATTTTTTTTGAATTCTTGAATTTTTTATTTTCCTGGTTTTATTAATTTTTCCTAATTTTTATCTATCTTTTTGAATTTTTTTTTATTTTTGAAGTTTTATTTTTCCAAATTTTTATAAATTTCCTCTTTTCTAATTTTTATCGATTTTTACACTTGTTTAACTTCTATTTTTATATTATTTTTACTCTTTTTTTTAGTTTTAATCAGTTTTTACTATTTATTTTTATTTTAAACTTTTGAATTTATAAATTTATTTTTATTTTTTAATTTCTGAAATTATTTGTTTTCTTTATTTTTCCTGAATTTATATCAATTTTTTAATTTTATTTATTTTTTTATCTAATTTTATTTGTTTTTATTATTTTTTTTTTAAATAAAACGCCACATCACCATTTTTTACCCGCTAGTGAACAGTAACAGGTCACAATTTTTACATGTGCAACAAGTAAGTTAGTTCGATGTTTAATATGTTATTGTTACAAGTTTCATTGTTTAAAGTGTTAGCAGTTGAGACTCAAGGTTTAAAGTGCAAACTTTTGCCAACTTCATGATTTATTATGCAATTTTCCCCTAAAACATTTGTAGCATTATATTTCTGAATATCTGAATAGCAACCTTGAATCTAACTACTTTCTTTTATTGTTCGAAACCTAAACATATTCTCTTAAGCAACTTATCATTGCTCACAACTGCAATTTACTATTTTAAACTGAATCAACCTAGCATAATCACTTAGGATTACATCTTTTGTGTTCCTCAGTTCCCTGTGAATTCGATCCCTAAGTACTACAACTGAACCTCTTATTTGAGAGAGTAATTCACTCCTTAGGGTTAAATATTTGAGTGATATCATATGTTTTCCTAAGATGCAGAGGGGTAGGTACATTATCTATGACCCCACTATTCTAATTCAAAGGAATGATCACACATCGATGGAAGCGAGGGATAGGTACATTATCGATGACCCCATTATTCGCCTACATCTTTGTCAAAAAAACAAGAAGATGAACAAGGTGGACTGTATCAGCATCTTTGTTCAATGGCATTGAGTTAAAAGAAAAGATTCATAGAAGAGAGAAAGAAGGAAAGAAAGAAATCAGAGAAGACTACCTGTGTGTTCAGATATTTGTAGAGGTAAGAATCCATGTGTCATTTGATTGATACTCCCAAGGTAAAGCCTATACTTTATTTTATGCAAGAAATGAGGTTAGTAGAGGGGGGAGTCCGACTAGTATTTGCTAAGTTGCTGATAGACTGGATTTGGTTGCTAAGCTAGGATGTTTTCAAACCTATTTCAGGGAGACTGATTGTTTGCTTAGCTTGAGGACAAGCAAAAACGTAAGTCTAGAGGAGTTGATAGGTCATGGTTTGTACCGATTTTCAATCATGATCTAGATATGTTTTTGAAGTATTTCATATGCAATTGGAGTCTTTTTAGAGTCTTTACAGGTCAGGTACTTGTGCAAGGTAATTGGAGTATTTAGATCATTTTAGAGCATTGAGAATGCTCAGCCTGAAGACCCAAGTCAGAGACAAATTATACACATACTATCGATTGATGTAACACCTTGTGCATCGATCGACGTCACTTACACCCGTGAGTCTAATGATGATTTTGGGAAATTACAAGGTTAACCCTGAAGCCTCCCATTTTGCAAGACAAGTCACTGGTCGAATGTTTGACTATTTATTAGACTTTTACAATACTGTAAACCCTAACTTTTCATACTCTCTTGCATCAATGGAGCCATCTTCTACCTTAGAGAGAGAGAGAGATATCTGAACTTCATAAAAGAGAGGATCTTGAACTCCTTTGTTTTCTATTCTATTACTTGTTTCTATTGTTTTTCATATCTATTCAAAGCATTATCCAGACCATTATGATTATGCTTCTCATGAATATGTCTGAGTAATCTTATTGTTAGATTTAGGTTTCTCATAAGGTTGATCTATGTATTGCTGATATGAATTGTTGTTAGGAATACCTTGATTATATTCTTCATCCAATTTGCTCTCAATGCTAAGCTTAGGATTAATCACGCTAAGCTTAGGATCGCTAAGCTTAGGATTAATCACCCTCAAATTAGATCTTAGGATTAATTAGTACAAGCGACAGCTTGGCCTATTGCCTGAAACTAAACTCGAATGGTCTAACAAATTTAGATTCATATGAATGTTGATCTAGTGAGTTATGGAACTTATCAAACCCGTGCGTAAAGCTTCCTGGAAGTGTGATCGATCGATGCTCACATAGAGTAATCGATCAACGCTTTCGAAAGGTGTAATGATCAATATTCATATAGAATCATCGATCGACACTTTCTATTAATCAAGATGCGACAGCCGAGATCAACAGATCTTAGATTTAGATAATCTAAACATGCGACAGCTGATAGATTATGTATCAGTTTGAGTTCGAGAATAAATAATAATTAAGAGTTCTTAGCAACCCTAATAAAGATGCTTGTCATATCTGAAAAAATACGTGAATCTTGCTATCTCCCAAATTGTCACAACCTCAATTTAAACCAATTGAACAACTACCTTGTTCACCCTAGCATTTACTGTTAAAACCTAATCGTCTAGATTTATTCCGAAAACTATAAACCAATTGTGTAATCCTAGAGCTTCTGTAGAGTCGATTCCTAAGTACTATAACTGAACCTCTTATCTGAAAGAGTAATTCACTATTTAGAGTAATTTGAGTAATATCAGATCATCAGAGAAGACAAAATTTTCGGTTTATATCTCTCGGGTAAACTGAGGTTTCTCTTTTGGCAGCAAGCGGATATTTCATCTTTGTCTAGTCTAGTGATTAGCTGTTCTACTTGTTTGTATCAATCCCAATATAAGTTAGGAAGAATCTCTGTTCAGTTGTTTTATTTCTTTTTCGCTTCTCCTTTCTCCTTTCTCCTGTATTATGTTAAAAGTAGAAAATTGGTATAATATCTTACATTTTTGCAAAGAACGAAAAAAAAACAAAAACAACTAAATCTGTATAAATGGAACAGTGTTAAAAGAATGTAAAATTTATTTGGGACTGAGGTACGATAACACTTTAAGCTTATCTGAAAGGGAAATATATTCTCTGTATGTTGATAAGAATTGGATTAATGGTCTACTATTGACAACTTGACTAAGTATTAACAGAGGAAACTAAGGAAAAGGTTGACTATTCTCATTTTTAGATAGACAAATAAACACTTGAAAGATGTGACCAAATTATGCTTTTGGAATGTCGAACATGTTCTTATCACATCTCAATTTATACATAAAGAAAGACAACTTACAATGAACAACAAGCAAAATTGATTTATAAATTTGTCCCAGGACTAATTACTAATCAATAGGGGATATATAGATTTATATGCTATTTGCTACTCCCTCTGTTCCTAAAAGATATATTTTCTAGTATTTTTCACACATATTAAAAAAACACATTAAATTACTATCGTTTTCAGTAATTTTTAATTTTCAACAACTTTTAGCCAATAGTAATATAATAAAACCAATTATTTTTTTGAAACTTGTAATTTTCTCATAGAAAACATAAAATATATATATTTTTGAAACAAAATATTTTTACAGAACATGGATCTTTTAGGAACGGAAGAAGTATTATTTAGTTACCTTGGTAGGGAATTAGGCTATAACTTTCAAAGCCTCTTTATTTGACATCCCCGGAAGTAAACTCTCACAATGTTTTTATTCATCAATTATGGTTAGAGAGAACAACATTAGTGATCATAAAATATGTCTTATGCCATTTACAATTAAAATAATAATATAAAATTTGCAATTAAAAACTCTGTTCTTTTCCAACTACTCCATTAATGTAGGTTGAAAATGTAAGAAACTTATCCAGACAATGAGATTAATGACAAAAAATATCGAGGACATTGTGTTAGTAATCGGTTTAAGTTTGTCACACAAATAGACAAAACAATTAGGGTGAATTTCGAACCACTTGGAAGTATTGGGAATTATAAAATAATAAAGAACAATAAAGGGCTGAGTCCGAATACTAAAAGTCAAAGCCAGCTTCAGTGTCTGAATCCAACGAATACACGATGACGACTAAGAAAACAAACACGAAGAAGAGAATCAATGGATCTCACAAGAAATTACATAATAATAATAATTGTTTATATATTTATAAATAAACTCGAATCAACAAAGCTTGTCTGTAACTTGGTCTTCTTCAATGGTAGTCATTTAGATCTCTCTCGAGAGAAAATTTACAGAACATAACCAAAGTCAATCAATGGCGTCCAAAATGAAGAACAACATTCGTTACCAACCGCGAAAATCATCATCAAGATCGACTCAAGCCTTCACAGTGCTCATCCTTCTACTCGTAGTAATTCTGATTCTTCTCGGTCTCGGGATTTTGTCGCTTCCCAATGCGACGAGAAACTCTTCAAAGCCCAACGATTTGACCAACATTGTACGCAAGAGCCAGGAGGAGAGGTTAGCGATAACAATATATACTTTTAATTCTTTTTTGATGTTTTCTGATTGAGTTTGAAGTGAATTTTTTGAATTGATTCCTGAATTTGTTTTTGAAATAGTAATGGTGGAGATGAGGAAGGGAACGGGGAGCGTTGGGTTGAAGTGATTTCATGGGAGCCTAGAGCTGTTGTTTACCACAATTTCTTGGTAAAATTCGTGCTTTTCTCTAATAATTTTTGCTTGATTGCTTCTATATGCGTGTTGATAGAGTTTTTATTCCTTGCCTGACAAGATAATCTAGTTTAAGCTCTTTAATGATCAAGTTGACTTTGTTCTCTCATATAATTTAGGTTTAGAACTCAGATTGCTTCTATATTCGTGTTGAGCGGGAAAAATTATCACTTATGGAGAGTAAAGGATTTTGAGCTTGTTTCTCATTGACAGATTTGAGCTTTGTTTGCACTAAAGAATTAACTGATCGAATTACCTATAGATTTTAGGTTTAGATCTCCTTGAATCTTCTTTTGAAGAGTGCTGGTTGACAATGGATTTTTTCATTACTAAAGTTTGGTGACTGATGGAGATGACTATGTTCTGCCCTATATAGGTTAGATTTTAGATTTCCCTCCATTGAAGAAGACTGAAACTTCTCAATGAAAATAACTTAGAGGGAGGGAACACACATGTGGTTTGTGTCTGAAATGAGTTATTAAATTGGAATGTCTGAGATGTGATCTTGAGCTTCTTTTCATCTCTGTTTCTTCTAGACCAATGAAGAATGTGAACACTTGATCAGCCTTGCTAAACCAAACATGGTTAAGTCAACTGTGGTTGATGAGAAAACCGGTGGGAGCAAAGACAGCAGGTTTGCATCCCACTCTTTGCCCTCATAGTTAAAACTTGGAAAGGTTTGTTCTTTGTTAACTTGTGTATACGGTCCCTGTTTTAGAGTAAGGACGAGCTCTGGAACTTTCCTTAGGAGGGGACATGACGAAGTTGTTGAGACTATTGAGAAAAGGATTTCAGATTTCACTTTCATTCCTGTTGGTACGTTCCCTTTTGATTTAGTTATTCAACAAGGAAGTGTTGAAAATGGATCATGCTTTCTTGTATGCAGTTACTCTTCATATCTTGAATTTGTAGATCATGCTTCTTTTTTTTTTTTGTAGAAAATGGAGAAGGTCTTCAAGTTCTTCACTACCAAGTTGGGCAGAAGTATGAGCCTCACTATGATTATTTCTTAGATGAATTCAACACCAAGAACGGAGGACAACGTATAGCTACTGTACTTATGTACCTGTAAGCGTGATCAAAATAAATATTTTTACTCAGAAATTTCTTTATGTTTTGTTTTTAATCTTCTTTTTTTTTCCTTTTAACTTTAGCTCGGATGTTGATGATGGTGGCGAGACCGTCTTCCCTGCTGCAAAAGGAAACATTAGTGCAGTCCCATGGTGGGACCAGCTCTCGAAATGTGGCAAAGAAGGACTCTCTGTTCTACCAAAGAAGCGAGATGCTTTACTTTTCTGGAGCATGAGACCTGATGCTTCTCTAGACCCTTCCAGTTTGCACGGTGAAGAGATATAACAACCAAAAGCTCTCTTTTGTTTTCACTGAGAATAATAATATCAGTGTCTCTGAACTTCAACATACTCTGGCTTTAAATTTCAGGTGGATGTCCAGTGGTCAAAGGAAACAAATGGTCATCAACCAAATGGTTCCACGTCTACGAGTTCAAGGTCTAAAATAGAAACTAAAATTTGAAGAGGTAATATCTTATATCTTGAACTATCTATTGACATTTTCAAGTTTTTATCTTCAACTTCTTTAATCTATTTGTTGGTTTCCACGACAGCTCAAGTTTGTATATTGTTGTATTTCCCTTTTGAAGTGAGAGATCATTATTTAGGAAACTGGAGGCTGTTTGTTTGTTCATGAGGGATATTTGAAAATTTTCTACCTTTTCTTGTAAACTATTTGAGATTTTTGTAACTTTACCTGTTTAGTCTGAGTTTTATAACTTCAATAATACAACCACTTATTTTCTGTTTACAACTCACTAATACTCTGATATCTGTAAATATGAAAAGATCGGAGATGATACTGGCAACAGGATAAGCATCCTTTGGGGTTGATAAACATATGTGAAAGCGTAATATTAGTAGTACAGAAACTAGAACACACAGTAATTTAAGAGTTGTCTTTTCCAAGAAAAATACGACTAGATAAATCTTTTTAAAAGCACATACAAGTTCTTTTGAAAAGCAATTCTCAACAAAGCTCAAGAACAACTTGACTTTGTTGACTAGTCCAATCAATTCACGACTTACCCTAGTCAGTGAATTGCTTCTAACTCTTAAAGTATTTTGCCTACCTTGCTCGGTTTAGCAAAACTCTAACTTGCTAGAATATTACCCAGTGTGTTAGTCGACTACAACCCCGTCGACTCTCTCTTTATACCTAGAGAGAAAAACCATAAAACTACCCAATGGAAACTTTCCATTTTTCTGTTTCAGCGAATAAGACAACCTTCTTCTTTTCTTCAACGGTTGCTTATTCTTCACTCCTTTTTCCTTAATGCCCACGCCTTGATAAATATCTTCACATCTTTATTAAAGGCTCCTTCCTTTTTCTTACTCAGCTCTCGACTCCGCATTTCATTTAGTAGTTCATGTCGTGCTTCATGAACTACTTCAACTCCGTTCTTGAACTACTTCAGCTCTGTCTGCACCATACATCTTCAATCTCCCCCTTTTTAATCTGTGCGTCTCACAAGTACCTGAGATGAATACAACAATGCACACACAGACGAGAACAATCTTGCAAAGCAATTGATGTAAGCAAAAGTACTTAAATATCTCAAAATAAAAAGGTTGCATACTTAATACATCTCCGAAAAGATAACACACATAAGTACTCCCCCATAATCTAAAAATTGTTTGAAACTGGAAATCAAAACCAGTTGCAACAAGTGGTGCAACCAGCAAGTACAATGCAAATGGAGTTCTAAAATAACATAAACAACAAAACCGCTCCCCCACAATCTTAGCCTTCATCTCAATCTTCTCCCCCTGCTTGTGAGCACACAGGTTAAAAACACAAATCAAGATGTAAACAGACTCAATCAAAGTAAGAAGAA